CTGGTAAAGTGGAGGCTCAGAGGAAAAAGATAAGACTATCAATGAGAGGGATTGATACAGTAGCTGCAAAGATGGGCTCAAGCACAGCAAGGATTGTGACGATGGTGCAGGACAGGGCAATGTTTCATCCTGTTGTACACAGAGTCACTATGAGTCAGAATCAACTTGACAGCACCTAACAATAACATCAAATAATCACACTCCTTGACCCAGTAATCTCACTGCAAGAAGTATACCCTTCAGATATACTCCAAAAAGTAAGCCAAGATACACTTACACAAAAATGTTTGTTGAAGCATTGTTCGTAAACGTCTACTAATAGAGGACTGGTTAAATAAATTATGGTAGATCTATTTCAAGGACTATCATGCAGCTATCAAAAACACTTAAGTAGACCAGCCAGACAATGAGCAGGTCTATAAGACGAACATTTACATCAGGTAGGCACACTCCTTAGAAGAATCAACCATGTTAGATCTAAGGGCAGCATTTGCACAGGGGGATTGCTCGGAGGGCAGGAATGCATAGGAAAAAAAAAAACCAAACCCACTGCCATCGAGTTGATCTCACCTTATAGTGACCTCCATTGAGTTTCCACGGCTATAAATCGTTATGGAAGTAGATTGCCTCATCTTCCCACAGAGCAGCTGGTGGGTTTGAATCACTGACCTTCTGGTTAGCAGCCAAAGGTCTTATCCACTATACCACCAGAGCTTCTTTATAAGAAAGATACAGGGAAGAGGTAACCACAGGGAGGGAGTGGGAAGAGAGCTGGTATATTATGGGGATTATAATCAATATCATGAAATAAAATGTGTCTCAAAAGTTGTACAGAAAATGAATTTGCTCTGTAAACTTTCACCCAAATCACAATTTTTTAAAAATTAATTAATTAAAATTGGAAAAAAAAATTAAGTAGATCTATTTGTGTTATTATTTTTGATCATGTTGTAAGAAGCGACCATTCCCTGGAGAAGGATGTCATGCTTGGTAGGGTGGAGGGTCAACGAAAGAGGGGGAGGCCTTCAATGAGATGGATTGACACGGTGGCTGCAATGATGGGCTCAAGTATAGCAGGGATTGTGGGGCTGGTGCGGGATCGGGCAGTGTTTCGTTCTGCTGTGCATGGGGTCGCTATGAGTCAGAGACGACTCGATGGCACTTAACAACAACAACAACAACAACATTTGTGTTAAAAGGGAGCTCTGGTAGCATAGTGGCTAAGGCACTTGACTGCTAACCAGAAGGCTGATGGTTCAAATCCACCAGCCACTCCTCGGAAGGAAGATGGGGCAATCTACTTCCGTAGTGATACTGCCTTGGAAACCCAAGGAGGGGTCACTATGAGTCGGGTCCGATTCGACGGCACATAACAACAACAACAACAACAACAGCAGCATTTGTGTTAAACAGGGAAAGTATCCATGATACACTAAGTGGGGGGTGGGGGATGAAGAAAAAGTATATACAGAATGATGATCCCCTTGTATAAAAAAAAATTTTTTTAAAAAAAATTTTTTAAAGGAATATACATGTGTATGTTGGCAGATGCACACATTTTTCACCTATGAAGATACAAAAGAAACTATTAAAATGGTTATTTCTGGGGATAAAAGAAATACACACTTAATTTTAATTTATATCTTTGTACACCATTTAAGGAGCCCCGGTGTCACTGTGGTTAAGTGCTTGGCTGCTATCCAAAGGTTGGTAGTTCCAACCTAACAGTCCTTTTGGTAGAGAAAGATGTGGCAGTTTGCTTCTGTGAAGACAACCTGTTGCTGTGATTCCAACTCAAAGCAACACTACAGGATAGACTAAAAGTACCCCATAGGGTTTCCAAGGCTGTAACTTTTATGGCAGGAGACTGCCACATCTTTCTCTCATGGAGTAGCTGAAGCCAAGCCCTTAACCACTGTCCCCCAGGGCTCCTTTCCATAAAGATTCAAAACAAACCAAACTTACTGCCGTCGTCGAGTTGACTGGACTCATAGCAACCCCTCCTTGGGTTTCCAAGGCTGTATCTCTACAGAAGTCAATTGCCCAGTCTTCCTTCCGAGGAGAGCTGGTAGGTTTGAACCGCCAGTCTTCTGGTTAGCAGTCAAATGCCTTCAGCACTATGCCACCAGAGCTCCCTCTATAAAGATTACAGCTTTGGAAACCCTATGGGGTGGTTCTACCCTGTTCTACAGTGTTGCTAGGAGTAAGAACCAACTCAACAGCAACAGAGTGTGTTGCTCCCATTTCTAGTTAGGTGAGAGGATTGTGGCCAGTTGTTTTCTTCTTTATACTTTTCTCAATTTACTCTCATGCCCATTCTAGAAATGATTATATTTTAATCCTAGCTATAATTAAGACTCCATGTTACTTAGGACCTATCACAGGCTTCAGAGGCTCATCGACAGAAGTCCTGTGCTTCTCCATTTTCTGACCCACTCTAGCAGATAACAACTTTCCTAGGACTAGAGGCTGTGTCCATTAAACCTTTGTAAAACTGAGTTTAATGGCTACTTAGTGTATAGAAGGCAATTCAGGAAGGAGCTCTGGTGGCGCAGTGGGTGAGGCACTTGGCTGCTAACCAGTGGAAGGAAGATGGGGTGATCTACTTCCATAAAGATTTACAGCCTTGGAAACCCAATGGGGATGGCTGTGAGTTGGAACTGACCGGATAGCAGTGAGTTTGGTTTTGGTTGGAGGCCATTCAGGTAAAATACTCCTTGGTGGTGGCAACGTTCATAGAACTCTTTTGCTCCTTGAGGTCTGGCCTCAGATACCAAAAGAATTTGGCTAATACAGAGCCCTGGTGGCACAACAGTTAAGCACTAAGCTGCTAACCGAAAAATTTACAGTTTGAACCCAATAGCCACTTTGGGAGAAAGACATGCTAGTCTGTTTGTGTGAAGATCACAGCCTTGGAAATTCAATGGGGCAGTTCTACTCTGTCCTATAGGGTTGCTATGAGTTGGAACTGACTTGATGGCAACAGGTTTTGTTTTTTTTTTGTTATACAACAGGTACTCGAACAAGTTGGAACATCTAACAAAAGGGTGAAAAAAATGGCCCAAACAATTCCAGTAAGTGGCTGATCAAGAGAAAGCTTTCTGTATTAAAAACACAACCAAAGGTATAGAATGTGTTTCAAAATTAGAAAGAGTGCAAAGATTTTATTTTAAAAGTGGTTTGTATTTTCCACGAATATCAGGTTGAAATACCTCAGGGATCATATAATCCAGTGGTTTTAAAAGTCTTAGTTTTCAGCAGTAAAATCTCTTTTTATTCTCCAAATGGAAGTCTTCCAGAAAACACCAATGAATAAATAAGTAAAAAATTAATTCACTGGGTTGGGGAGATCCCCTATAAAGCTCTGTTTTTGTGTGTTTAATTCTCTAGGCGCTGAAATCAGATGGTGGGACTGAATTCCTGGATCCACCAGTTCCTGGCTGCCTGACCTTTGAACAGGTCAATTTATTTCCCTGAACCATTTTTCCCCCCTGTAAAATGAGAGTGACAATAGCACTTACCTTTTAGGGTCATTATACATAGGGCACTTAAGACCGTGCTTGGCACATGCTCTGTGTTTCAGTTTCATTACCTGTAAAATGTTACTAATAATAATAGTACTTAAACTAATAACAACACTACCTCGTATGGTAATTGCTTGGATTCAGTGAGTTAATATATATAAATCACTTCAAACTGTGTGGTACGGTACTACAGTGGCCACTATGATGTAATTATTGAGCACTTCTAAACTGAGACATGTTCTAAGTGTAAAATACACACCTGATTTAGTACCAAAAAAGGGTATAATAACTTATTGATTATTTTTATATTTGACTTTATGTTAAAATAATACTTGGATACATTCAAGAAAATATATCAACTTTGTTTATTTTTAATTCTTAAAATTGGACATATGGCTCACAATTTATTTCTACTGGACACCTGCAAGCTTAGAATATGTCTGCCACCATAATCATTCTTACCATGACTTAATGAAAAAATAATCTTTATTATTTTTTTTTAATTCCACCCTGTGTAGGAAGCTCTGGGGGATGTTGCCATGACAGAGAGGGAGGTTGCAAGCAGGAGGAAAATAAAGGCATCTGTAGAGTGGTGGTGAAAAGTGTCATTTCAATGTAATAATTTAAGCTGCCTTTGGGTACCAAAGGGGTACCCCAAGCCAGCACAGGAGGGGTAAGACGCCTCCATGGTGGACCGCGATGGCCTGAATAGGGAGGAAAACGTTTTGCCTGCTCCACCCCATCAAGGACAAGGTCCTCCACTGAATTTGGTTTCTTTTCTTGGGGACTACCATAAAACCCCCTTAACTGGGAGGTCCTAAGTAGTTTTGTCTCCAACCAGCATGGTCAGGCCCATCTCATGGCCCAAGGAGCTCCACCCTGGCTTGGCCATTACTGACATCCTCATTCCACATCCAGATTATCTATCTGCCCCCCACGAGGCTCCCCTCTGGAGGCTCAGACCCTCCTAAATTCCCCAACACTCCCCTGGCCTTCCTGCTAATCTCTAGTCCCTTCCTTGGCTCACTAAATCCCCCCACTCTTCCAAATGCCCTCCCTCAGCCTTTCCAATCGCTCAGTGGATTCCTTCAGTTCCCCTAACTCCCTTCAGCCTCCTTAAACTCTCTTCAGAACCTCTTCCAGGACCCCACAAAGTCTCCTCTGCCCAACACCCCCTCATTCTCCTCAGAAGTTCTCCACTCCCACTTCCGGGTCACCACACATCTTCTGGGAGCCCTCAGCTTGTCCTGAAGGCCTCCCGGGTTTCCTCGCTCCTTCAAACCTTCTCAGAGGCCAGTTCTCCTTAGCTGCTCTCTGACACCCACCTTACATTCCCAAACGCACATCAGCACTCCTCGGCCTAGTCCCCCCAAATTCCCTCCAACTCCAGGAGCCCTTGGCCGCCCTCGGCCCTCGCGGCGTCCCCCTCAGGCCCCGCGGGGCCCCGCGCACTCCTCGGCCTGGCTGCCGACCCACCTGCGCGCCGAGCTGGTTCAGCTGCTGCATGTCGCCGCCCACAGCCTCGGGCACAGGGTCTTGAGTGCAGTGCAGGCGGCCCATGGTGTCCTCCCCGGTCACCCAGGCCCCGCAGGCCCCTCAGGCCCCACAGCCCCCGCCGCCCTTCCTCGGCTTTCCTCCTTCCGCGCCGCCGGCCGCCGCAGCCGCCCGCCTCAGCGCGCTTCCGCAGCCGCACTTTCGCCACGGGCCGCGCTCCTCCCCAAGCAGTCCGGGGGGCGGGCGGGGGCGCGCCCTCACGGAGCCGCGAACGCGCGCGGATCCTGCGCCCAGTGGCCCGCCTTGAGGAGCAGAGAGTCAAACGCGGATTCCCTGCCTCCTCTCCCGCTGAGTGACCCCTGGAAGCAGCACTTGGCCTCTCTTAGCCTCCATCTATCAGTAAAATGTTTCCTTTGATGGTTGTTTAAATGAGTTAATCCTACTAAAATGCTTCAACAGAGCCTGGCAGACAAGAGACCCTCAATAAAAATAAATGGCTAGCTACTGTCCCTACATCACTATTATTATGCATTCAGCAAATAATTATTGCACACCTCCTAGATTAGATGTCAGGCATAGGGAATAGAGAAGTGAACAAAACAGGCCAGAGTGTCTCTCCAAGAGTGTACAACAGAGTAGGCGGTTTTGTCTCAAGCTTGAGCTTGCATCAACATCTCCTGAAGGGCTCCCTAAACATAGATTGCTGGGAACCACCCATATATGACTTAGTATATGACTAAGTAGGAGCTCTGGTAGCATAGTGCCTAAGGTTCAAACCCACCAGCCACTCCTCGGAAGGAAGGTTGGGCAATCTACTTCCGTAGTGATACTGCCTCAGAAACCCAAGGAGGGGTCGCTATGAGTCAGGTCCCACTTGATGGCACATAACAACAACAACATATGACTAAGTAGGCCTGGTGTGGAGTCTGAAAATTTGCATTTCTCACAAGTTCCTAAGGGCCAACTTTCTCCTGGTGGCATAGTTAATAAGGCATTTGGCTGCTAACCAGGAGGTCAGTGGTTCAAACCCACCTACTGCTCCAGGGAAGAAAGATGGGGTGATCTACTTTCCTAAAGATTTACAGCTTTGGAAACCCAATGGGCGTTGCTATAAGTCGGACTCAACTCGATGGCAGTAAGTTTGGTTTGGTTTGGAGTGGAAGAAACTGGCCCACCAAAGGTTGCTCAAAGAAATGAAAAAACAGTGATATGGTTTGGGAAGGCGGTGGGCTGGTAAATGAAGAGAGGTTATTGGGACAGTGATAATCACTGCAGCCCCTGAAACATTTTGATCTCCACAATCTTTCTTCTCAGGACCCTTTACAACCCCCAGGTAAGGATCACCTGATCCTTACTAGACAGATGAAGAAACTGAGGCATGCTCCCTGTACTCTAGGGCTACTGACTTCCAAGGCTAAGAGCTTTATCTTTTTGTGAATCCAGTCTTGGGAATGCAGGAGGGTGCCTAGAAACCTTGGAAGGGGCATGTGGGAGGATTGGTTGGCTTTCCATTCTTTTCCCTTTCCCAAAAACTTCCTTCTGGAAGGGTATGAACAAGATGTCTTCTACCCACAAGCCGAACCCATACCTCTTAGTCATGGTTTCATTCATGATTCATCCAACATAATTTTGAGTGTCTACTCTGGCCTACACCCATGAGGGGTGCTGGGCACACCACAGTGACAAAGCCAGATACAATCCCTGGCCTCAAAGAAGTCAGAGGTTAGTGAGGGAGCAGACACATACATGTGTAAAATTTACATATGCTATACCAGCCACTCCTCGGAAGGAAGATGAGGCAATCTACTTCCGTAGTGATACTGCCTCGGAAACCCAAGGAGGGGTCGCTATGAGTCGGGTCCCACTCAATGGCACATAACAACAACAACAACAATATTAAAATCAAAGAGCTCTGGTGGCACAGTGCCTAAGGCATTGGGCTGTTAACCAGGTTGGCAGTTCACACCCACCAGCCGCTTTGTGGAAGGAAGATGAGCCAATCTACTCCTTTTAAGATTTACTGCTTTGGAAACCTAATGAGGGTCGCTACTTGACTGCTAACCAGAAGGCTGGCGGTTCAAACCCACCAGCCACTCCTCGGAAGGAAAGTTGGTAATCCTACTTCCATAGTCATACTGCCTCGGAAACCCAAGGAGGGGTCTCTATGAGTCAACAACAATAACAACAACATGAGTCAGTGACAATTTTTTTTTTTTTTTTTTTGAGTAGCACAGTGGTTTAAGCAATAGACTGCTAACCAATAAGTCAGCACTTTGTTATTATTATTATTATTTTTTATTTTTTCAGTATTCCCTCCCCTCCCTTCCCACCTCTGGTAACTAATAAAGAAAGTTTCCTCCCATATATAAACCTTTCCTTGACTAAGGTCAGCAGTTTGAAACCAGCAGGTATTTCACAGGAGATGTGTCAGGCTGCTTCTGCAAAGATTTACAGCCTTGGAAATCCGATAGGGCAGTTCTACTCTGTCCTATAGGGTTGCTAGGAGTGGGAATTGACTCCATGGGTCAATATGTGGGTGGATATGTAAAATTATGAACTGATGCCCAGAGGCACAAGGTGCTTTGAGAGCGTATACAGCGCACCTGTCTGAGTCCAGAGTGCCTGGAAGAGTGTAAACCTTCAGGTTTCTAACATGCAGGGTCTGACAACCACTTGATTCACCATCCAGGAATTTTTATTTTAAAATATTTCTAAATCTTTTTAAAAAGCTTCCTGACAGGGCATTATATTTCTCTTTAAACTTTAAACCAACGTATTGAGATATAACTCAGACAACATAAGATGCAAATAGTTCAAGTGTATTTTTCAAAATTTAGCATCCTTGAGGAAACCAGTGGGTTTCCTTTCTTTCTGCTCCCACAGTGACTGGTGCTTCAGCACTCAATAAATATTATGGAACTGAATTAGACCATGTGGCAGAAAATAGGGAAAAGGGAGGAAATTCACTGGAAATGGCTGCCCAACACTACAGTAAAACAAAGACTGACTGTCTTTTCTTCTGGTCTTTTTCCAAATAGCAGGTCATTGAGGTTTCTGTGAAGTGTTTTATTTTCACGTCTTCAGAGCTCTTTCTTTTTGACAGGCTGTTTCATCCCTCTTACCAGGAGTAGGAGTAGGAACTGACTTGACGGCAACTAACAACAGCACTCAAAGTCTTTGGTCCCTGCGTCAGCTGTGGTGGCATCCCCCTTCCCCAGGGACCTTCTTAGAAATGCAGCATCTCAGGCCTGCCCAGTCCTGCTGATTCAGGAGCTGCATTTCAACTAGATCTCCAGATGATTCTCTCTAGATGATTCAGGCACGTTACAGTTTGAGTTTGCAAATAATAGTAAGACTGAAACAAAACAAAAACAGAACCAAAGCAACTTCTGATTCATGGCAGGAAATGCACAAGGGGAAAAAAAAAAAAAAAAAAAAAAACACGGCCTGGTCTCTGATCAAAAAGCACTAACCAAACCAAACCAAACTCACTGCCATTGAGTCAGATCCAACTCATAGCGACCCTTCCTTGGGTTTCCGAGGCAGTATCACTACCGAAGTAGATTGCCCAACCTTGTTTCCAAGGAGTGGCTGGTGGGTTTGAACTGACAGCCTTCTGGTTAGCAGTCAAGTGCCTTAGGCACTACACCACCAGAGCTCCTCAAACAGCACTGTTTGTTGTTGTTATGTGCCCTCGAGTCAGACCTGACTCATAGCGACCCCTCCTTGGGTTTCCGAAGTAGATTGCCCCATCTTCCTTCCGAGGAGTGGCTGGTGGGTTTGAACCTCCAGCCTTCTGGTTAGCAGTCAAGTGTTTTAGCCACTATGGTACCAGAGCTCCCCAAACAGTACTAGGAAGGACAAAATCTAGATGGGGAAAGACATCATGACTGATCTCTATGACAACACTCAGGAATTAGCATCTCAACCTGAAGGGGGACCTGGTGGCCAGTGTACTTTGTAATGAATCTCCCTGATGAGGATCCCTTCCAACCTGTGCCTCCTCCACTTAAAGGAAAAGAAAGCCAAATCCTCTAGAATAATCTGAAAATCCCAAACAACCCCGTTCTTGGCATCACTGATAAGTGCTACATAACATTATCATAAAATGTTGCATAATCCACCGAATGAGACTACGATAATGCCCATTATGAATCCCGAGGGTTGCTTATTTTGTTCTTTATTTCCAGTTTCTTCCATTTTATTCAGAATTTTGCAGCTAACAAAGACGATAGGTAAAAACGTCTTTCCAATGTTCTCCTTCACAAGCCACTATTGAGCAAAGGACAAGAGTGGTGGTTATTGTTAAGGTCCTAACTTTGTAGCAGGAAATGCAGGCCTGACCAGGCCTCCCCTTCCACAGACGATCCCAGGCCCCCAGCAGCTCCCATTTTAGCCTTAACAAGGGACCCTGCTCCCTTCATTCACTTTAAAATGTCTCTTTGGAGGGCAATAGAGCTTCCCCTGCAAGTGAAAGGAGCTCATTAAGAAGTTGTTTCTCAGACCTGGAGGAGTCCTGCTGGGAATTTCACCAAGGGGCCAGGTTCTCCCAAGGAGGAAAGTCTGAGCCTTCATCCTACAAAAGTGTTTTAAATAAAATAAATAAATAAACAAACATTTTATTTTGAAGTAATAATAGATTCCCAGTTTCCCTCCATGGCAACTTTTTTTTTTTTTTTTTTATTGTGATTAGGGTGAAAGTTACAGAGCAAATTCATTTTCCATCCAGCATTTCATACACATTTTGTTTCATGACATTGACTGCAATTCCCCATAATGTAACAGCTGTCCTCCCACTTCCTCCCTGTAGTTATCCATGGTTACATCCGTTACATCTTACAAAACTGGAGTACAATGTCATAACCAGGATATTGACATCAGTACAGTCAAAATACAGAACACTTCCATCATCGCAAGGCTGCATCATGTTGCCCAAGGACATTTTATCAGAGAAGAAATGCTCCAAGACCTCTTTAGATGAAAAACTGGAGAAAAAAAGTACTGTGTTGTGGACATATCCGTGTTTCCGTTTACTGTTATTATCACCGTTATAATGATGTTTAGTATTAGCTCCTTTTTATAAATTTGTATTAACAAAAATACAAAGACATACTTGACCTAGAGTTTTCAAAAATGTCTTTCAGGAAAGG